CGGGACACCATTTAAACAAATGGCCGCACCAGATGGTGACTTCTGTTGGTGCTGACCCGTTTATCACACAGGTCGTCAATCAACAACTGAGACATCACATGCTCAAAGGCAGAGGTGGCAGGTAGAAGATTGGGACACCATTTAACACATAGCCGCACTGGATAGTGACTTCTATTGACGTAGACCGAAGTCCCAACAGACAAGCATATATACCCTCCCTTTGGGAGCTTGTCTGGGAAACCCGATTAACATAAGCAATAAATATTGCAGTATATACAGGAAACCAGACTTGGGACTTGTAGTCCACTGGGCTTCCTCATCTGCGCTGTGTGGCTGCTGTGACCTTGGACATCGGCGACTGAGATTCCGAAAGGAGTAGGAGGCAAGACCATATCAGAACGCCATAACATCCCTCCATGATGGCTGAAAGTGTGCAGTACTATGCAACGCCAAGGTGGAAGTCACTGCCCTCATCTCATTAGGATTGGAAGCAGCTGGGGTGGTAGTCCCTCAAAGGTGTAGACCCTGAGGATGATAGAACGCAGCCAGTGGAGATGGTGGTTGAAGATACATCAGAAGTTGCAGCCGTCGACAAGTGGATGAAAACATCCCTGCGACAGCGACGGATGGTCTGAGATGCCTTCAAGTAGATCTTGTAGGCTCAGGCTGGACAAAGCGAGACGTCTTCCATAACATCATTTCTCAATCAATGAGAGTGGTGGAGGCTGAAAAGACGATCCGGTTGTCCTTGAATATGTATCTTATTGAAGACGCTGGAACCGGACTCAACCGACGTCTACGCACGAGTCCCTCTTACACAAGCTGCAGGAGCCAACGCAAGCAGGAAGATCGTCATGAACGTAAAGTTTGAGGTTTATCCACAAGTGGTAGGTATGAGTGAATCAATGTCCGAAGGTCAGCGACAGCAGAAACCTTGGAACCTGAAGTCATGGTAACGCCTGAATAACTCGCAGTCTGAAAGATATTTGTAGATCTATCGGTTCGGGAGACTGCGGCAAGTTTTATCCCATTAGTGAGTAGTTGGTACAGAACTGATCGCTGCCCAGTAAGCGCCCAGTGTCGAATCATAAGATGCCTTGTACTTCTTAAGTGACATAGGTAATCTGCTACTTGTGGTATAGTAGCTTGGCTGCAGAAAACCCTGGATCTTGCAAACTGGTGAAACTTTTCTATTTATCGTCACCTAGATTCTCGTTGATTGACGAAGTGCTAAAGAGGCTGCCTTAGCTGCTCTGATGGAAATCATCTTACGAGACAGCTCTTGATACACTCCAAACGTGAAGTTCGTATAATTCTGGTCTTGGATGGACCTGATTGGAGGGAGGATTGCGACTGAAATTATCATGAGACGGCCCCTGTGCCTTCCACGGTTTGTCCACCCTATGTGTCATGTACACATTTGTATACAAAATTACAGGATAGTTTCTTAAAGAACTTCATCCGTCTTGGGTCTTAAAATAAACAAAATTCAGATTTTGTTGGGTACAGGGTATTCATGGTCAAGTACCATATTGATGTTTCATACACTTTTCTGGATTTCGAGTTATTTTGCAATTCATCGTTCTCATTTGGAGTCAAAGGGACTGTAGTATCTAGTAGAAAAACAAGGCTGAAGATGTAGTTTACCGGTTGGTTGATTGTACGAAGCAGGGTAATCGGGACCACGTGGAAGAGCGGTAGTAGCAGAAACCGTGCCTTGAATGGACGTGGAGAACATTAGGATCATATACCGAAATAAAATGTCGATATTCACCAACTCTCGTCTTGAATAAGTGAGGGATGACTTGTACTGCCAGGTTGATCAGTGACGTGTAGAACTGGTGAAGAGACGATGGATTCCATCGCCAAAGCACCCGAAAAAGCGCTGTTCATTCCGGTATCGATGCGACGACAAAAGGCGTTGTGAAGAATGTGACATGAGATCAGCCTGTACCAAAGTCAGCATGGTAGTCTTGTTTACAAACAGGAATCTCGGCGTGATGTGTAATTCACCCTTGCGCAGAAACAGGAAATACAGCAGTCTTTCCGATCACATGGTTAAAAGCTCCCAACACACAAGCAGTGGCCCGAGTAACGAAAAACACCAGTGTATAGGCAGTTAGTTCCTTGTAGAATATGTGACGAACCGGTGTAGTATCTAGGTGAGCCTCGTATGACGCTTGAAACCATCTTCAGACATCGAACACCTGCCATTTGTAATGATGAAAGACCGACGAACTCCCCCGTCGAATCATCTGTTAGAATGGTGTAGGTTGACCATGGATAAGGTGGCCAACTAATATGGAATATCAGGCTGAATTCGAGGGCGTCAATGACAAAGGTCCGCTGCGGTGATATCGAGCTTGAGGATGATGTCGTCTGTCTGACGATTCAAATCTGAACAGATGGAGCGCGTTGTCTCGAGTGTCATAACCTGTAATGGAATATCAGGCTGAACGAGGGCGTTGATGATAAGGATCGGCTGCGACGATATTGAGCCTCAGGAAAATGGCGTCTGTTTGACGATTCCAATCTGAATAGGGGGAGCCGAGCATGATCTGTAATGGAATATCAGGCTTAAAGCGACAGCGTCGATGATAAGGATCAGCTGCGACGATATCGAGCCTCAGGATGATGTCGTCTGTCTGACGATTCAAATCTGAATAGGTGGAGCGTGTTGTCTCGAGAGTCATAACCTGTAATGGAACATCAGGCTGAAACGAGGGCGTCGATAATAATGATGTTGATTGAGTGACAATTCAATTCATAACCTTGCAATTGTGATTTCTCATAGGAGAGTATCGTAAGACGATTCATGACTGGTAGGCACGTGGACCTAATCGCCAGCACACAAAGTCAGCGATCTAACCCACTCAGCCACCAAGGTGTCCTGCAGGTAAAGTCGTACCAACGGACGAGCTCTTGATCAGACGATGTGACGATGTATCGATGTATCGATTTATCCATTGTATCGATTTATCCCCGTGCCGGCGTATCGATTTATCCATTGTATCGATTTATCCCTGTGTCGACGTATCGATTTATCCATTGTAACGATTTATCCCTGTGTCGACGTATCAATTTATCCCTGTGTCGACGTATCGATTTATCCCTGTGTCGACGTATCGATGTGTTTCGTTGAGTGGAGATCCCTCGGTATTGATCTGTAAGAGAGGCGAAACTGTCGATCCTCCGAGGTACGATCTGACTGACCGCCCATCCAACATCAGCGTCTTGTGGATAATGGTGAAGTATGTCGATCTGTCGATCTCTCGGTTGTCTATGATCCCTTGATCACTCGGTCGTTATGATCCAGCGAAGGTGGACGATCCTGTGAGTGAAGATCTGTCGTCAATTGGCTATCACTTCCTCGCCGACGATTGTAGTGTTTTCGGTCAGAAGGGTTGTCGCCATTAGAAAGCCAGAGAGGTGTAGCTGTATCCTCAGAGCGCTGTAGAAGTGATGACCCGAGTAAAAAGCCTGTTGGGGGATGAGGCAACACTCAGTTGACGGCTTGACTTCCCAAGCTGAGTAAAGGACCGTAGTCCAACACGATGAACTGGTCATATAAATGCGGGACGACTGTAGAAGCCAGGGAGCGGGCACGGGCACAGGGGCGTGGTCCGCACAGAGGCGGGAATCGCAGCAGTCAAACGAAACGAAAAGCGATCCTCCTATACGGATAGCGATGCAACCAAGCCAAATTGACTATGATATTTTTGTTATGCAAGAAAACGAAGTTACAGCCACAGGGAATAACACAATAGTTTGGGTTTCAAAGTGGAGTAAAAACAACATGCACTAAAACCGTAAACAACGCCTTGAACCGACGAACAGTCGCCTTTATCGAACACTAAGCTAAGTAAGTTGAGATCCAATTCTGGCAATGTGGTACACATCGTTATTAATACCACTCACTCTTAGTGGTAATGGTAAACTTTAGTAGTGATGTCGTGTATTTAAATTTTATATATAAAAAACAACAAAAAACAAACAAACAAAAATTCTCTGTTCAAGAATAACGTCCGAACACCATAGCGATAGAATTGAGAATGAGGGTGCTGGATATGTCAGGTGATCAGGTCGCTGGGGTCGTTTTGCATGGGATTTTAGTGTTGCGTGAACCATGATCACAGTTGTGATTGGTGATGTAAGGGATGTGTTTGGGTGAGTGGTGTTTTTGAAGCTGGAAACTTTGTTCTAGGACGTTTCCACACCAAGGTCGAAGAATAAGAAGAAATGCATAGTGTGAGATAGGATAAGTTAAAAATCTTGCTTTGCCTTATACGACTGCAGATGATATCATTGAACAGAAAATTTCCTGCAGAAAAAAAACTAATCTGTGTGTGTGTGCGTGCGTGCGTGCGTGCGTTATGTAATTGGGGTTTTATTCAACTTCAAAGTGAGGGTTGAAGAGGGGGGACTATGTTCCTGTGGCATTGTTGGGGTCAGTTTGACCTTCTACAACACAGGGACCTGGAGAAGAGTTGGAATAAGTGTATTGAACAGCAAGGGGACTGACATGTATGGTTGTATGTACATGTATGTACACGTATGGTTGAAAAATAATAAAACTCAGTTTTCGGTCCTAGTGAGCTCACAATCAGAATTTTCAATGACGTGTTGTGCTTTAGCCCCAAAGAAGCAGGCTGTATGTGATGTTTTTTGCCACAAAGTTTGTGGAAAGGAAAATATTTTGATCCCCTAAGCATAAAATAACTATTGAAACAGAAAAGCATCCTATGACAAGACCATTTGAGCTGACAGCTTCATAAAGGATGCTTGCAAGAAGACCTTGAACAACAGACAAAGACGTCCATTAGTCCATAGCTCTGATAAGCTCGGAGGTGACCTGCCCAAGATTACTTCTGATGTAATGTTCACTCTAACAGCTATTTTGACAACACACACCTGTTACATCATGTCAAATGTACAATGCTTGTGATCTATCAATATTTCCTGAGAACGAGCATGGAAGCAAAAGAAGGAACTCTGCTTACCTTGTCAGTGAGTGATTCCAATTGTTGACTGCTATCCCGCACTTTGTTCGCACAATCTTTGATAGAAGTCGACTAAAATGACAAATTAGACTGTGACATAAAACAAGCAGACACGCTTTAGTTACATATATTTATTTATCAACCTCTCAGAAGAAAGGTTTCATGTTTCCCTGTCTTTAAAGCTGACAATGACCATGATTCCATGACCATGTTGAACCTTTTCAAAGCAGTGCCTGGGAAAGGTATACATACCAAATATATTCATAAATGCATGCATATTCATGATACCGTATTCGACGTAATAAGCGCCCAGGGCGCTCTCAAAATTAGAAATAGGGGGCTCTTATTAGAATATTATTTTGGTGAAAAAAAACAGAGTTGAGAGATAAATTTCGTGGTTTATGTTGACAGCCTGAAATGTTTATGTACGACAGATATATTTTTCCAGAATTTAATTGCCCATAATTAAGGGTGCATATAACACGCGAGTGCGTATTATTCGCGAAAAAAATAAGTCTTGTGTGCATTGATCAATCGGAAGGGGTGCCAATTGGGATTGTTCACTAGCCAATATATTAGCAAATATCGCCGTGGGCGCTTATTACGTCGAATACGGTATGTGCCATACAAATTCCCTTGTGCAATTTGGAAGAGTGAGTGAGTTGGGTTTCATGATGCTTTTAGACATATTTCAGCAAAATCATGACACTATAAGGAACAAACCAGTATTTGAACCCACCATCATGGATTTCTGTGAACAACAAATTGCAGCATCTTAAGACAACTGGGCCACCCGTGACCCCAATCTATGGAGGAAAAATCTCTAAATATAATTTATCTTTGTGTAGTACCGGTAGATATAAGCAAAATCACCAGCGGCTGTGACCAAATTGGAAAAATTATACTGACTGTTAATAAGACTGTTATAGGCACTTAGGATCTAGTGCATTCTGAATAATACTATTAAGAAGACGTTCAAGGTGTACATGTGCTAGATATTTGACATGACTTTGATATACAGCAAATATTGAAGAAAACTTTTACAATGACTATCAACAAGAGGACAAAGTCATCGCTTTCTCTCGTAAAGGTAAATACTTGTCGCAATGCGTCAACTACTCGTAAACCAGGATAAGTTGAATCAACTCACAAAACACGTTTGAGACAAGAAGGAGGTGCACAGAATTTGGGCAAACATATTTGATCCTTATAGGTAGAGAGGGTGTATGCATGTTGTGCACGTGCAGGTCATAACAATGAAATTGACTATGCTTCGTTGGACATATGTGTTGCTCATATTTTTTATATTTTTTTTAGGCGTGACAAGTTGATAGCAGAATTCTCTAAAAGTCATTAATAAGAAGTTAATTACAAACAAATAAACATGTCAAAGCTAAGTAAGCATGGCCAATTCAACATTCTCAGGCTCGAGAATTTGCTGTCACTGTTTTCAGTCTTCTGGTACCTCACATCAGCATGTACTATTATCTAGTTGTGCTACTGAACTCTCCACTTGAACTCAGTGTTAGCCTACATCAAACAAGGGTCCTTAGGGCCCCTTGGTCTCAATAAAGAGGGCCTTCTTAAAGTTTGGAGGGACTCATCCCTAATAGAGCTTCTTTGGTTTAGCAGATGCATGCTTGTCACTGCCGGCTATGACAGTATCTATTTAGAAACAATAAATCTGATTGGTCAGAAAATAATATTCAGTGCAGTCCTGCTGTCGTTAATTGTAAGCTTGAACGATTGGTAAAAAATATCACTATAGTAATCTCAAACATGGCGAGACAGGACATGCACTTATCCATCATACTACTTGTCGCAGACCACCTGCTACCCCTTTCTTCACAATGGTACACACCAATGTGCAGGCCTCAAAGTTGTGACTAAAACGGTCGCCAATCCAACCTAAATTTCAGTTTGTCTACTGTCTAAAATTCAGAGGTAGCCAAATGACTACCTTAAAAAATATCTTGTGGCGACTAAAATCTATTGCTACACATCTGTAGACACAAAAATAAACGACAGCTGATCTGGGAAAACACGTCTGTTAATAATTGTACTCGCAAATAATTCCTCCTAAAGTAGACAATGAACCGAAATACATAAATATTATGTAGTTCGTACTTTATTTCAGTTGACAATGCTAATCTAGGAACATAAATTGCATCATTCTTTGAGTCACAAGTAACAAAAGTCTAGCACAGTTCCCAAGACTAGTGCTATGACTTGTACATATTAATAGTTATTTGATGAAAGATAATTTCAAATGCTTTTGGCTACCTACAATATTGGCTTGACTTCTTGATTTTACCACTGACTACCTGGAAAAAAATACTTGTAGCCATATAGTTACTTGGTAAAAACTTAAACTTTGAGGCCTGATGGGTGGACTTCATTCATAGTCAACGGGGACAATTGTCAGGTCACACCCTAACAATAACTGCCTGGACTTTAGGGTTTCTTCTCAAACCAAGAACCAACAACCTAGTTTCATTGACTTACTGTAAATGCATCTTAAATTAGTGTTTATTCCCCATGTCTACACACAACAAAGAACTACTTAATACAATATTCTTGAGATGTTTCAAAACTGAAAATCTGGTGAATGGCAAGTTACAGTGGCTTGACCTTCAGCGAAGTAATTAAGCTATAACTTGGTAAAATTCTTATCACACAAATTGATCCCCAAGACATACTGGATATTGAAACAATGTAACAACCAGATGAGCTAACAATTTAGACAAAAGACCACTATAAAGTATTCAACTTCTGGTAAGCATTCATACAAATTCTTCACCTTTTTCTTCATTTGTGCATCAAAGTCATCTTTTGCCCTCTTGGCTGTCTCCATTTTCTCTTTGAGCGGTTCATGCTGAGATCTTGCCTGCTTTACTTCTTCTTCCTTCTCGTCTCGCAGTTTCTTCTCTTCTAAATACTGCTTTCTCTTTTCCTCATATTCCTAAATCATAAGAGTGGGTATAAATGTTGTCCGTAGTTGTATGCTCTCTTGGTCATTTAATTATGACATTTCTCTTGTTAAGGGAATTTCAGTGATAAAACCATGAAGTCCACGTCACACCTATGTTAAACTCAATTCCTCCCAGACTGAAACTACATTTAAATAAACATACTGACTTACCACCCAAGGTCTTTTCATTTTCAAAACTCTGACTTTCTCCAGGTGGATTTGACGTTCTTCAAAATTTTTCACATCCTGTTCAAGTCGTGAGTTTTTTTGCTGCTCCTGCTGAAGGCGCCCTTCAACACTGTCACAGCTCTGCTCCATCTGTCGACTATCCTTCCTAGCCTCCTTCAGCTTCTGGTGGAGGTCATACAGGTCTTCACTTACCTAAAGGAAAGAGCAAAAGGTGCCATTTACTTCACTCAATATATTATTGCATCAACGAATGAGACAACAACAAAATCTACATGAATTTGGATAGTCATGATATTAGTTTACTTATCCTGACACAACATTTATCAATGACAGATTTTAAGGTAAACATTAGCGCTATGATAACTGATTGTTTCCAAAAGCTAAAACAACATTAATTTTATAAATAATTAATATTACAAAGTTGATAATTGCTTATCCTGATACAACATATCACAGTTTGCTTTAGGGCTTCGATTCTATAACACATAACCCAAAACGTGCCTCTTTCTCTTCCCGGGTGCCCCCTGCCCTTGGTTACCAACAGGAGTTATCTCTCCCTGATCCCTTCACTTTCTTCTCATTACACTCTGCGAGAGACATGTGCATGGAATTTGGTTTCTAAATTCTTGCTTTTGGATTTGTTGACATTCTAAACGACAGATTCTACATCAGATACCCTTTTGAAAGGATACTACTTCATAATATTTAGAACTTTTTAATTTTTCATTTAGCATTGTCCTTTGGTAAAAATAATATAAACATTGCCATGTCTCCATAGAATCCCTAAACAGAAACAGATTTCTTTTCTTTTTTAACAACCATAATAAAATGCACAATTTGACAACCTGGTTTTTGTGCACAGTTTCAAGATAGAGTACCTATTAGTTTTAGAGATATGTTCCAGACAAATATATTGGAAATTTTAGCATAAATTGTATCTTTATATACTTATACTATCTCACACTATGCATATCTTTTCTTCCTCTATCCTATGTGGAAACGTGCTTGAACCCTGTTTCCAGCTTCTAAAACAAAAACAATCGCCTGAACACATATCCAGCATCTCCATGGTTACGACGAACAACTGGGTCATCTACATGCCTCTCGTGCATGGTAACCTTCCTGGCTTGACCATGTGTCTCCCTACCAACTCATTCTCTTTCTTAGAGGTATCAGGCTAGAGGAACTGAGATGCAGGGATGGTCGGGTGGGCATATCGCATGTGAGATAGGATAATTGTATATAAATATACAATTATCCTATCTCACACTATGCATTTAATCCCACTGTTGGATGGTGGGCCGCAGATATCCAAGCCTGTATAGACTACAACTGGGAGAATACAGTGAGTGAGAAAAAACTATCGATTGGTGTTGGCGATCCCGATACGAAACTCACACGAAACAAGGAATACATGCCAAACATTTCAAGTATGTCACCATTCAAGAAATGACCGCGTAGCTGTTAACAGTTAAATGCAACAGCTAACAACCCTGGTTTGTTCTACCAGTATGGATTCTTCAAACATGTCACAACGCTATCGCCGACGGACAAAAGGTGCGACATTTTGGCATCTCTTTTAACGCTACGTCAAGGTTATCAAACACATTCAAGTGCATCAGCCAAACCAAGATGTGAAGAGGAACAAACAACAATATCCCTAAAGGATCTTCAAACCCAAACCCTAAAACACATACTCGAGGCAGAGGTGAGCGGAATAACGGTCTAAGACACATTTCTATTTTTAACGGCTGCGCTTAATGGCGACTTTGATGCTGAAGACTAACAGACTCTACAGACGAGTTAATCAACCATCAAAGAGGGACTTGGTCGGGGAAACCCCAACATTCAATAAATAATTTAACACCGAGGTTAACGTTTTAAAGATTGATTAAGTATGTACAATCATATAACATAGTGAGAATCATGTTTTGGGCTGTGACAGTTATGCCAAGATCAAAGGGCCCAACTTGTGGAAACCTCGTACATCCGTGACTGAAAAAGTCGCGAAGGTAGTGAGAGGGGAAAACTGTGTCCAACTTCCAGAAGCACCCTTCCATGATGGTTGAGAAGGTGCAATAACTGTGTCAGGCCATGCTGGAAGCAACCGCTTAGGACTTGTTCGGGTTGGACATTGCAGGTGGATGCAGCCCAGCAAAAGTAGCCAAAAGAAGCCAAAGAGAGGGCGTAGTGTGGGAAATCTCCGAAACAGAAGTGATTTTCTATGGCAAGGAGATGCAATCAAATCGAGACAAAGCACTCGAACTGGACAGAGAGAGATATCTTCCTGGTCATCCACTCCCAGGAACGACGAGAGAGAGGAAATTGTTAATAAGCGAATGAGGTCGGCCGGAAATTTTATTCTATGCTAGAAATTCCCTGTGACGCCTTTCCGCTTCCAGATCAACCAAACTGGATCCTGTCAACACGAACTTCTGTTGCAAGGGCCAGTAGGAATACGGTCATCCCGAAATTCTTGTCCATCAGTAGCTTGTAAACATTGGAAGTCAAGTGTTGTAGTATCACATTAAGATCCCACGCAGGGGGCCGAAATCGTGAAGATTTGTCCACTAGCTTGTAGGAGTGGATGAGCCCTTTCATGTCATTCGCAGCTTGGGTGAAGCCTAGATTGGAGAGGAAATTCACAAGCACAACAAAATTTCTCGAGCCTTATCCCCTTGCGGTCGTAAAGGCGCATGGTAGATGCACGATAATGGTTAAGCTACTCATTTGGAGAAGCCTCAAGCGATAAGGGACTTCTGGAAATGTTCGCCAGCTGGATGGAACCACTGAGAGTGCTGCTGAGGTCTTCTCGGAGCGGGAGATGATGGAAATGTCTGTCGGCTAGCCTTAGCAAGTTGGGTAAACAGTTGCCAAAACAGTTGGCCAAAAGGACGAGACAAAAGTCAGAGAAAGATGACTGATGGCTTCTACCTTCTGAAGGATCCGGAGAAGGAGGCCTGTAGTGAGAAATGTGTACGCATTGAGGCCCTCCCCGCGGCTTACATTGTGATCCCATGCCTGTCGTCTGAGGATGGACAACAGAATAGCTGAGCGTTGAAGTGGGTTGAAAACAATATAATTGGCTGATCCGTTGGAAGATCCTCTGGTGTAGGGACTACTCTGTCAGCAACGGCCTGTCGGGATGGGACAGGGAATCTGCTGTAACTTTGGAGATCCCTTGGGATGTGGCGAGCCCAGACGTGGACCATCATATAGCTAGAATATTGCTGAGTGTGGCATTAAAGAACAAACAAAACAAGCGTATAGTCACCAAAGTCATCTATATCCCCCGCCCATTTTAACACGTTATGGTCCAAAACCAGGTAACTGACCCAACATTTCTCTTAGCCCATGTCAAAATAGCTGCAACGGAAATTCTAAAATAAACATTTCTAAAACTCCTTAATATCAAATGGCACCAGTTCAGTATGTGCTTCATATATAGACAATGTTTGGCAAGGAAATATCTAACAGTGAATTTGTTATACTCCATAAGTGAACCCACCCTATATTAAAACTTAAATCCAACTTGTCATGGAAACATAAACAATAAAAATCTCTAAAAGTGCTAAATATCAAAAGGCACCAGTTCAGTATGTGCCTGGTAGACATGCAAAGTTTTGTAAGAAAGCATTTAACGGTTTTTGAGTTACGCTCCGGAAATGAACACCAACCTATAGAACCTAAGTCCAACTTGTTGCCATGGAAACGTAAAAATAGAATTTCCTAAAATACCTAAATAGCTAAAGGCACCAGTTCAGCATGAGTCTGATAGACATGCAAAGTTTTGTAGCGAAATATTTTACGGTGTCTGAGTTATGCTCCAGAAATAATTTTGGGACACGCACGCACGCATTTTAATTGGATGAAGAGACAAACTTACCAGTATTTTATTCATCAAGGAATACATTGATGTAGAGTGGCCCTTTCCCAGGTTGACTGTACATAAATGTTTATAGGGTTACATACTAGTTTGGACACACCAAAAAGAAATGAAACAAGTGCAAAAGTGAGCGTGGCTCACTAATACCCCCGACCCGCCTAGTGTGTTAGTAGTTACAAATCAAATAGCTAGGATAGGGTTAGGCAGGGTTACCCCTAGACTCCAATATCTGAGAGTCACCTTGACTCAGCCTATGAATTTTTGGGAGTCAAAAATATTTTTTGAGAGTCAAATGTTTTATTGTATGATTAATGAAATTTAAAGTGTTCACTGTTAATGTTACACTTAAAGTTAAGTATCTTTTAAATATTATATGTCTTTAGTTTAAGTTAACAAGTGCTAATTAATGTTCTCAGCTGATTGTACTACAGAGAAATAAAGGATATATGAATGAAAAACAAAGTTTGTTGGTTTTATTTTTTTCTTTAATTACTTCACCGCTCATGAAACAATTTACAGTGACACTAATACAGGATGAATAAATAACATCAGTCTCAACTGTGAGACATAATTTTTAATCATGGATGGATATTAAAATACATTTCATGTCAGATTATAATTTAATACCACTAACTCATTTACATCTTTTATCTAGTTATCTTGTATTATCTATCAACAGTGAAGTTGAACTGAAGAATTGTGAACACTCGTAATATTTTCTGGTTGAATACAGTTTATTAGCAACAACAAACACGCCCAAAGCTTAAAGCCTTTACATTTCTTATATACCATATTTATTTGTGGATAATACACACTCGTGTATAATACGCACCCCTAATTATGGGCAATTAAATCCTGAAAAAAATATCTCTCCTGTATAATACGCACAGACTTTTCTTCAGTCTCATTTCAGGCTGTCATGATCTGTCATCGGAAATAGCATAACAAATCCGAATTGAATTACCCAAGTTAATCCTGTTGTTACACTATCTGGTAATAAATATGTGTTCTCTGTATATCTGACCTTATGTTTATCATCTATTTTATTAATTTTATTTAAAATTTCATTCAATAATGTTTACCTTAAATTAAATTTTGGCAAAAACATGTGTACCTCCGATACTTACAACTTCCGTTAACCCCGTTCCATAGGTTCCGCTTAACCACATACCGTGACCGCACCAAATCACATTATTCACTGCAATAATGATAATATTTTCTTTTGTTTCATTTTTGAAGAGTCTACACATCTAGATAAACATATGTCATGGTTAACTTTGAGTGAGAAAATATGTCGAAACGTGAAAAACCTTGTCCATTTGCGTAGTTTTCCTTTGTTTACATCACGTGCTGTCATCGAAGCCACACGGAGTGTGAGAGTTACGTTCATTTTGATGAATAAATATATTTTGTCGTGTACCTCACAGTCGCACAGTTTTAGTAGCATATCTATATAATAATGCAAAACAATATGAAAAGCCCCCGGCTGTTCTGATTTTAGCGTTTGTTTTAAAACGAGAGAAAAGTCTGGTCATGTGACAGGCTATGCAAATTATCCCGTGGTAGTGGTGTTATGCGAAGTTATGTTACTTCTAAATAAGACGATTAATTAAAAACTAGACGTAAATTTTAAGACGTTTGCATATATTGTCTTTGGAAAATGTTTATAAATTAAGTTCAGGTGAGTACGATCGTAGTTGTAATATTTTCATTCCAAAGCTGGTAAACAACAACATAGATATTTTGAAATTGCGTCAGTCATGATGCAGTCATTTATTTCTGGACGTATTTTTCCTTAATTGAGAGTCATATACGCAAGAATTCTGCGTCAGGGGAAACCCTGGTTAGAATTTGAAAATTTCATAAAAAAATGGAAAATTAATAAAAACAATTTTTCTCTTTTGACTGCACCCCTCCATATGACACAGATTATATGTACTAAGTTTGAGTTTAAGAGAAATCGCGGGGCCAAAGTTTTCGGACGGACGTTAGGGTTTGAAAAATTCATAAAAAAATGGAAAATTAATAAAAAAAAATAAATTCTTTTGACTGCACCCCTTCATATGACACAGATTATATGTACTAAGTTGGAGTTGAATCCACTGAATAGTTTAAGAGAAATCGTGCGGACAAAGTTTTCGGACGGACGTTAGGGTTTGAAAAATTCATAAAAAAATGGAAAACTAATAAAAACAAGTTTTCTCTCTTGACTGCATCCCTCCATATGACACAGATTATATGTACTAAGTTTGAGATGAATCCACTGAATAGTTTAAGAGAAATCACGAGGACAAAGTTTTCGGACGGACGTTAGGGGTTTGAAAAATTCATAAAACAAGCATGAAATACTCACATCCCCCGCCAATATGATATGTCGGGTGTGTGCAATGCATTAGCTCCTGTGAACTATGTTCACTGGGCCTTTTTGTAAATGGCCTAATTGCAGCACTAAAAAAAAAGTTATTACTGGTGTTGTTTTTCCATCTGCAGTTTATGATAGAATATGTTACTGAATTTGTAATGAGTAAGGATGAGACATATGGACAAACAACTTCTTTATTACAATTAGGAGCGATGGTTTCGGTGTAGGTTCTAACACCATTATCAAGCAAGTGAAGTACAGAGTATGGTTGACAAGAATATATATATTGTTTATACAGTTGAGTAGGTTTAAGATCAGTTACACTGTTGTATTTGTAATGAGTTGTGTTTCTGTATGAAGTTGGTCAGTGAATGCAACAAATGTGTCCATGACACTTTTGGAGGAACATACACTCATGCAATGCAGAACTTACCAACAAGAAAGGAAATGTATTCAATACTGTGAGATGACATTATGTGCCAAGTTTGGTAAAGAAATAAAGTACGTTTTTCAAGATTTGCTCCAGAAACGAGGACTAGCGCCATTTTTAGTCTAAGTCAAAGTTGTTGCCATGGAAACTCGAAAAATAACTTTTTTTTAAAATCCCAAACTATCAAAAGACGCCAGTTCACCACTAGACCTATCAATGTGCAAAAAATGGTGAAGAAAAATGGTACGGTTTTCGAGATCTGCTTCGGAAACGAGGACTACCGCCATTTTCAGTCTAAATCAAAATCGTTGCCATGGAAACTCGAAAAAAAATAATTTTTAAATCCCAAACTATCAAAAGGCACCAGTTCACCACTAGACCTATCTATGTGCCAAGTTTGGTGAAGAAATATAGTACGGTTTTCGAGATCTGCTCCGGAAACGAGGACTACCGCCATTTTCAGTCTAAATCAAAGTCGTTGCCATGGAAACTCGAAAAATAATTTTTTTTTAAATCCCAAACTATCACAAGTATTTGTCACAGAAGTGACGAAATGTCCCCCGCCTGTATATACACCATAGTACCAAATATGAAGACAATCCAGCGATTACTTCTTGAGATATCGCGGCAACACCGTTTTCCAACTCCAAAAGCAGATTTACCTGCTGTGACCTTGAAAATGGGGTCAAGTTCACCAAAACCGACTGGTGTCTGCAGTGTTTGTATATACACCATAGTTCCAAATATGAAGACAATCCAGCGATTACTTCTTGAGATATCGCGGCAACACCGTTTTCCAACTCCAAAAGCAGATTTACCTGCTGTGACCTTGAAAATGGGGTCAAGTTCACCAAAACCGACTGGTGTCTGCGGTGTTTGTATATACACCATAGTTCCAAATATGAAAACAATCCAGTGTTTAGTTCTTGAGATATCGCGGCAACAAACAGGTGGGACGTACGTACGGACGGACGTACGGACGGTCGTGAATACTATATCCCCCGCTTCGCGCTTTCGCGCAGCGGGGGATAAAAAGGCAGGAGTTCACCACTAGACCTATCTATGTGCCAAGTTTGGTGAAGAAATATGGTACGGTTTTCAAGATCTGCTCCGGAAACGAAATGTTACGGACGGACGGCACCCATTCCTATATCCCCCTTCCACTTCGTGGCGGGGGATAAAAATGGAAAATTAATAAAAACAATTTTTTTCTTTTGACTGCACCCCTCCATATGACACAGATTACATGTACTAAGTTTGAGATGAATCCCCTGAATAGTTAAAGAGAAATCGCGGGGACAAAGTTTTCGGACGGACGGACAGACGGATGGTATAACTATATACCCCCGACATTTTGTCGTGGGTATAATAAAAAGGCCACCCACCAGCACTACCCGGTATTTTTCAAAAAGCCTTTGGAAAGTTAAAGCTCAGACGAACGGAGGATGACTGACAATGAGACTCAATGGTGAGTGAGTGAGTTGGGTTGAACACCGCTTTTAACAGTATTCCAGTTATATCACGGCGTGTCAGTTTAATGAAAGCCCGAAGTGATTCAGGTCTCAGAGTTTTACCACTGCAGTGAAACCCACGAGCACGGGTATGGTGCTGACAAACCTAGAAACATAATAGGGTCGAAACCGTGATTCGAACCCACAATCAAAGGTTTCTGGCGTGCCCGCAACTCAATGGATTGTAAGAAACAATTGTTTCATGCGCACTATATTTCAGATGCCTATATTTCTGTAAGTGTAACGTATGGATGGATATACCTTTCACTATACATATTTATGGAAGATCCATGTCTCATGTATGATATTTTTGTGGCACGTAAAATGATTCACACCTATGAGTTCATGCCACACTCTCGGGAGAACACTGTAAATCCTTTTATCAGAATATACATCACATCATTCAACATTAACTGTTTGGAAAATAGACTGTTCAAAAATGACAGTTACTCACAGCTTTCTGAGTATTCTCAAGCAGCTCCTGCTGTGTCATTTTTGCAAACTCTGCAACACGGTCCTGTGGAAGGAACTGGCACAGGTTGCCTACCTGGATGTTCAGGTTACTGACCATGAGCTCCACCTGCAAATACAAAACATACACTGCATCTATAGTACATCAAAATTACTCCCACCTATGATAACCTGAATATGTAAACATCAGTTTTAGTAAAATCTAAATATTTTTTACATTTGTATACTTATCCTGTATTATTCGTTAATGCATCTACTGCTTACCTTACGACAAAGAAGACAACGCTTCACGATGGTCCTGGGTGAGAATTAAGTGTTTTTTTCCATCTCAAGTCCACTTTTGCAGGACCCAACGCGGCTGTCATGTGACAGATCGTGACGTCACAACCAATTCCCATTCCTGCTCGTCACCCGAGCTAACAAAAGATTTTTTCTAATGCTATAGTGGGGAGACAAGTCTGCAATGGGTGGGTCCGTAGACGTAGTAATGCAGGATATGCATACAAATGTAAAAAATATTAAGATTTTATCCAAATTTTTATTTCTCCTGCATTACTCTTTAATGGAACTGTATCAGACAGTATGGTTATGTGTATACCTTCAGATGTCAAAAACCTCAATAATTATAAACCCTTCAAACAACAAGATGTCAAGGTGAACTGTATGGCTTAAATCACAAAACGCCAGATGGTAGGGCTGGCTCAACTTTACTTACAGAAAGAACATGAGAATTGAGGATAAGTCCAAGTAAACAACACTAAATAAGAAGATTAGCGTAAGCTAAAATCTTTACATACTGTGTTACCAAGCCAAAGAAGAAAAGCTTGAAAAGTGTCCCTATCAGGACGTGTTAGACTGGCTCTGGACAGTTCATTATTTGCTTTAAGGGTTGGTCACCTGCTGGGCTACTACCAGAAGGGCAAAACTACAAACACATTTGACGTCTTCAAGTGCCACATCACGAAGATAATGGTTGGCGAAAACCATGAGTGAGTGAGTGAGTGAGTTGGGTTTTACGCCGCTTTTAACAGTATTCCAGTTATATCACGGCGTGTCAGCTTAATGTGGGAGGAAAGCCCGAAGTGATGCAGGTCTCAGACGTTTACCACTTCGGTGAAACCCACGAGCACGGGTATGGTGCTGACAAACCTAGAAACATAATCGGGGCGAACCGGGATTCGAACCCACAATCATAGGTTTCTGGCGTGCCCAAGGGACGCAACTCTGCACAGCGAATCGCGGCGCCTTAGACGACTGGGCCACCCGTGCCCCCCCGAAAACCATGACCTCCAAAAACATCCTTCCATGTTTGCACTAATAGAACTGTTGCTATGTAGAGTGGAATAACCGTTTCCACAGACCACGCCTAATCTCGAAGCGGCAGTTAAAAAATCCTAGTGCGTGTACAGGGTACAAGAGGAGTTCACCCTCCCACAATCGTAGAGATTGGTGGAATGGTGAAGGACCGGTCAGGTTGGCCTGGTAGTAGATTTTTCGCTTAGATCCAACTCCAATTACAAGATAAACAGTACTCACAATCGAGTCCGATGCTGTAGTACGTAGAGGAAAAAGAATGTCAGCAGTCACGATAACCGTAGAAAAAACTCCACAAAGTTTTCATTCGGCAAACTAAGGACATCTCTGCTGTGCAGTGATGCTATTACTGGATTGGTTAGTCGTGTGAATAACCATGGGGCTGAGGAAATTCCAAATGGCAGGATCTCCCATTGGAAATTCCTCCCCTGGAAGAGGAATCTGAGAGTAATAGCTGGTCCAAAGACACAATGAAATCCCCCAGGCAGATGCGCTCTCTATTGCCAAACCGGAAGTTTCCAGAACCGCCAGATTTGATCTTTCCCGCTTCGACCCCCTCCACAGCCTTTACAGGGAAAATGCTGCTGGGCGTGCTGCATTGGTTAGTATTGACCACATGATCTCCGTCCATCAGGAAGATAACACCCTAATGTTTTGGAGATCTCCGATGGTGATCTGAAAATGAACTCTTTCTGCCCATATTTTTCTGTTTCCTCCACCTTTCAATTCAGCAAGGTAGATGCAGACCATGGTTTTGTACACATCATTATGTCCAGGGCGACTCCTCCAGGAAGGCCTGGTGCCTTCGTCCATATTCTGGGATATTAGCCAAGTTTTCCATCTAAAAGGATGCTAACAATAACAGGGTAGCCCAAGGTGTAAGAGTAGCCTCCTGGATAGCTACGATCACAGCTTTCAAATAGATAGGATGCTGCTAGCGAAAGTGGCATCAAGGTGTACACAAATCATTTTCAATGGTCATAAGTACCTTGTTCTCCACTTTATTACACTTTCCCTTTTGACAAAACTTCTGCACATCCCTATTCAAAGATGGAGATGTCTGTGGAAAGGGTAGGCAATGCAGCCCCAACAAGATACAAGCGACTGCCTATGTAGATGACGTCCTGAACTGTCATAGGAAGCGTTCAGTCAAAAGGTGTTTGATTGTAAAAATGAGAGTAACCCTTTATCTGGAAAAAGGTTGAAGGTTCATGTGCAATCCATAAGCCATCCGTTCTATGTTGAATTCCAAACTGTAAACCTTTCACAGCAACAAATAAAGTCCACTGACGTTTCTGTGTTGTCTCATTTTATTCCCAGCATCACTCATTCCCAAACATCACCAGAAATACTTCCAGACTATCAATTGGACTGAGCCAGGATATTAATGAAACCAAATGTATGGTTAATGTGACGGTTTCAGGGGAAGGCTTGGGGATGTTAACCTCAATCCCCCCAACACTCATAGTTAATGAAATAAATTTCACCAATATACAACCAACAAGTGATTGAAGTCAATAAATAATTATATTTATTGAATTAATAGTAATTAGATGTATATAACAATGAACAATAATTATTACACTAGAATAAATTACAACTTGACCAAACTTAAAGAAATAAACATACCCGAAATCGAAGCGTCGTACAATCTACGTCTACTCTCATGCAAAACAAATCTTCAACTGAATACAACTGTCACTGTTGATGAGTGACGTCATCAACGAACTCATTCGAAACAAGGTACAATAAACATAGCAAAGCACAAAGCAATAAAAGCCTAATTGAACTAAGTCTCCAAACAATAATTAAAACAAATATTTAGATGATAATAAATTGAGTTGAAGCTACTGAATAACCTAAATACGAGATACAAAACTAAAATTCAACTCAGGCTGTGGCCCAAAATGGCAGCTTGCTACAAACCCGGAAATGGAACACAGCATTTGTCTCCATATTTATCTCGGCCCCCGAACAAAACTTTTCAACTTCCGCATTTATTATTCTTGTCTTCATATGCACATTTGCGGCATGGAATTTTAGTGCTCTTTTTGTTGATTTAAATGTTCGGCAACCACTCTGAGGGCAGGCAAAGTGCTTCTGAAATCTCAGATGCACCTGCGCCCAGTGAGAATCGAGGTGGTGTTTCTCCCTGTAGCTTCCTTCCTTGCACACAAGACAGGTCATGTCTGGACGAAATTTAATTAAATTTGTCCCTGGCGCCCCCTCAATGTCTCCGTCTTACTTCCCCAACTCCCTGTCGTCTACTTTGAGTTCAAGGTCTTCCATATTCCTGTTAGAATAATAGGGATAAATCTATTGTATCATATTGACACAATCCAACATCAATAAAAACATTTCAAAACTATAAGTTATGATAATTCCTAGGTTTGGTCCAACACCAAAAATATCTAGAAATTATTTACTCAAAATAGATACACAAAAGTTTAGTGGGGAAAGCTTCCGACAAGCACAAACACCTTGATGGTACTATCTTGACTAATTAACTTTTCCATCATCTGCATACTTACATGTACAATGCATCCAACATGCATCTCTACTATAGATTATAGATTTAAAAACAGGCAAGGCAAATAAGGTCAGCATCTTAAGTGCGACCATTTTTTTAATTTGCAAGTTTATTTTATGTAATTGTGTCTGTCAGAAATCATCTGTAATTGATTTTGTCATAACGCTTTCATTATAATTCTTCACAGGTCCACCAAGTTGGCGGATCGTTTCCCTCGTATGGCATTAGTCTATCAACATGTACCACCCTAGGTGTATTGTTTGGACCATCTTGGATCCTAAAGGTAATGTCATCAATTATCTTTGTAATGACCCAACCATTTTTCCAACAAGTGACAAATTTCTTCCGTTTTGACATAGTCTTGTTTGGGTTGTATAACCAAACAGGTTGACCAACTCGCAGGTTTGATTGCTTTGAATGAAGGTCATATCGCTTCTTCCGCACCTCTGAGGCATGTTTCAGGTGGGAACGAGCGGTTGTAAAAGCATGATCAAACTTTTCCTGCAAGTCAGAAACATAGTCATCAACCCCCATGTTGGTAGAGTTAGGGTTCCCTGTCAATAAATGAATGGGAAATCGTACCTCCCTACCAAGTACTAGCTCATTCGGACTGAAGTGAGTAGATTCATGTTTCGATGACCTATAAGCAGCCATTACAAACGGAAGGTGTTGATCCCATGTTTTGTGTTTCCCATCTGCATAAATGCTTAGCATGGTGCTCAGTGTGCGATTGAACCGCTCGACCTGACCATTGGCTTGAGGTCTTAGAGCTGTGGTTCTCGTTTTTACCACACCCAGCAATTTGCACATCTCTTGGAAAAGACGAGCTTCATATTGTCTCCCTTGATCGCTGTGCAGCAAAGCTGGAGCACCAAATCGGCACACCCATTCCTCAACAATCTTGGCGGCTATTGTTTTTGCCTCAATGTTTGGCACTGCATATGCCTCCGTCCATTTTTTGAATGCATCCGTGACAACCAGAATGAATCGGTTCCCGGACTGCATTCAAGTGGACCTGTTTGGGAGGGTTTTAAAAACAAACGCTCCCTACTTCGCAGAAACGCACATGTCCCAGTCATTATCAGATCCAAGTGTACAAAACACACCCTGCTTCGTGGAAAGCACGTGCTTTCCGTGAAGATTTTGTTAATGACTGGGACATGGGAGTTTCTGGGAGTTTAGTTAGACAGGTGAGTTTGCAGAGTAAAGAGGTGCTGTAACAGTAGACAATAGAACAGTAGTTTGTGTTCGATTGGGGAAAATAA